CTACATTTCCCCCGAAGAGATCTGATTTTGTCTAATTCACGTTTTTAATTCACAACGCCGATACAGTTTGTATTCCACGGGATATTTCTTTTTACCAACTACTATCTCAAATAATGCTCGTTACTACCTTTATTCAATTCCACTAGGTGTAGTAAAACCGAAGGGCTAAAGAAACTTTTTACCGTGACTCACTGTCTTCATGTTACTTACTACTACTAGAATATTTCTACTTAATTACAAACATGTATCCCATAAGCAACTCATTTACCCGCAGCCTTTAGAGGCTTGAAAAACACGCACGCACGCACGCACGCACGCACACACACACACGCACACACACACACACACACACACACACACACGCACTAACCGACAGGTTTTGATAAAAACAACTTTTTCGGTATTTCGCATCCCAAAAATCATGGATTCTGACTTCACAACGTATAAGAAAACGTCATTTAGGAGCCATAAAATTAGTTTTGCTGTAAAAAAAACGGACACATTTCGCTACAGCAATACAATACTTTCTCTATACTATGTAAGTAGTATATGAAAAAGAAAAGAAAAAAAAAAGAGAAGAAAATAGTGGTTCGCCAGCCGCCGTCCGCGCTGCTTACGCGGCAAGCGGGAAGGCCTTCCAGCACGCGGGTGGGCCAACCCGCGCGTTGCGTGTTCAGCGTCGGCGGCCGAGGGGTCGCTGCCGCAGCGGATTCCGGGCCGCCCGCCCGCCGACGCCTTGCCCCCATTTGGGCAGCGTTGCGAACTCCCGCCCGCTTATAGCGCCAATGCTGCACTTTGGCCGCAACACCCACCGCACGAGTGCGTGGGAAGCGAGCGGTTGGCAATGCTCGCCCTTCGGACGGATGCGACATCGATGACAAAACATCATGTTCAAAATTCAGACATCGATGTTCAAAATACATCGACTAAAAACCATCGACGTTTTTCAACAACTAGAATTTTAGACCGGATTAGTGAACTCTTAACATTAAATTCGTGTGCATTAAAATTTAATTAGACAGCGTTAGATTTTATTAATTGGCCGAATAAGGGTACGAGAACAGGCAGACCCTACGCCCATAGCATATCTGTTGACCTTATCTCAATGTGCGAAACGAATATGAAGGAAGAGGAAATATAAAGGCATGATGGTCATCTCGGACGAGATGAAGGCAGTGCAAACAGCGTTCCTTTGGTCCCTACACACGAATAACAGTGTTACTATTAGCTATTATTTTAAATTTTATAGTATTGTGATCAAGGGAATTTTTCATTTAGAAACAAAACATCGGAAAAGAAAAAACATCACAAAACATCGATGTTAAAAATACTTCGGTATTTCTACAAAAACATCGACGTCGATGTCGCAACCTCAGTGCGAATCACCTCGAGGAATCAGGGAGGGGATTCCCCCTTTACAACGTGTGCGCTTTTCCGTCGCCGACTTCGTTTCTGGGCTCTGAACGAGAGGTTCTAGTGGTCGAGTTCCGACGGAGGCAGCATTTTCGACACAAGGTAAATAGCTAACAATTCCGCCGTGGTCGAATTCAGCCGCTGCCAAGGGGAGAATTCTGACCGCCGCGACTAGAATTCTAGCCCGCCAGCTGCTTTGAGCGGTAGTTTTCCGTGGGTTATCCGATCAGTACTAGGCGAATGCCGGAGCAGTACCCAAACAAAAATGGGTCACGGACCGCCCGCAATGTTTCCTTCCTCTTCTTTGTCCTACCCTTCACCCCTTACTTATTATACACACTTACACTTTTATGCACTAACTACAATACATGTTGGGAGGCCAATCGGGAGATTAGAGCTTGTCTTGGTAGGAGCAGTGCCCCGCTGGTGGGAGATACCTCGTTCAGGAAAACCCCTCAAGCCGACGTGGTCGGTACCGGATCTCACAATCTTACGGGGGAAGAACACCGCCATCTCCCGCGTTAATAACATGCACTTCACACTTACGGGATTAATGATCATATCAGTTAACACGCCCGGAAACACGAAATAATCTGTTTCTGGATGATAGACGAGGGAACTATATTAGACCGGAAAGTCGATCATGGCTTTATAGTCCCACGCGGTCAGCTTAATTTTAATTTTTAATAACAATTTTTATTATAATTGCATTGGTGTTGTTACCTAACAGATTGCATGAGAAGCATACGGATTGGTAATGCGTGCTTTTCGGATTGGTGCGAAACGCCTCGAGAAAACCGGGTAGGGGATTCCCCCTTGAACTATTTGAATTTCCCGACTGACAATGAGATCTAACCATTTCTGGCTGCATTGGAGTAAGTTGCATCGGAGAGACGAGGAAGATAATTTTCAACGCTGATGGTAAGAGTTCCATGTTAACACCTTAAATGTTTGTTTTTTAAAATTACAACGTGTTTAACTGGAATTTCTTTGTAGTTTTCCGAAAGAGATTGTGCCAAACATGCAGTTGGTAACGCGCTTCGGACGGATATGCAACACTCCGAGGAGCCAAGGTAGGGGATTCCCCTTGAACTACTTTAGCGCATTTTCTAAGGCCTAACTTTTCTGACTCAATGGCGAGAGTTACAGATTTTCGATGACGATTACATAGTTCCATGTCCTCACATCCTCAATTTGTTTCTTTATTAATGTTTTAATGGAATTTCAATGTTTGAATTATGATTTCATTGCCATTACTTACTTAAGAAGAGGGCACGGATGTTTATGACCTACAAATGTTAGCAATATGCAAGCATTTATGAGCTACCATTTACAATAATCCCAATAACTCCAAGTGTTCAGCTATTATAACTTCAAAATCAGTTCCACTGCCTAATTCTATAGGAATATCCTAGGGAAAAGGAACTATGAATAGGAAAATCCTATTAACATGAATTTAGAAACCACTACATTTAACAAACATTTAAAAAAATATCCTATTTTCCTGTAACTGAACCGATTAAGACCCTACAAACCTTTTCACAGAAAAGGTAACACAATAATATTTTCGGATTCGGAAGATGTAAATTCTGCGAAAACGAAAACGCATGTTCACTCTACATTACAGTATTATGCACATATTTCGTAGTAGACACAAACTGTTATATAGAGTATAGAGATTACTGAAAAGCACACATTTTACTCCAATGTTAAGAATGTCGGATTAACGAGACGTTAACAGAGAATTGTATTACATATTTTGTACTGCTGTTGAGTGTTTGTGGGAAATGCGTGATGAGCAGTGATAAAGGTGGACTCTATCGGGAAGCAGATCATGAAATCACCAAGTCAGAAAAAGCGAATGTGGAATATAGTGTTGCAAATGCATTTCAATGGGAATATGTATTATGCATAATGTTTGCTTACAATGAATATTCTCATTAGATCTCGTTGTCCAGGCCGAGAATCATTTCCTCATGTGAATTTGGTACATGGTCATGTAAGCGCATTCGAAACAAATGTGGCATATCGCACCGATAACCTTTAACATGACCAAAATCATTACTACTGATAAAGAAATAACGACTGTCAGTACAGAAACCAATACAAGTAGTGACACGCTGTGTCGAATCAAAATTACTACTAATCGTAAGAACAAATACAACACGCAAATATTCAAAAAGATCTTTGACATAACTTCCTCTTTGACAGAGAATCTGCAATCGGTGATACACTAGTATCTGGACGGTTTGACATTAATAACGAGTAGCCCACTTTGGCCAAAGTAGTACACAAATCGTTCATTGAGACATCAAATCACACCAGCTGAGCGCGTAGCTTTATGGAGCAATACTGACAGATACGATAAACTATACGACGGCTCGTACGTACAATGAGAGTGTATTAGTCGACAATCACTTAATCATTATCACTGCAATAATTACGAGAGATTGTGACCAAGTGTAATATTGACAACAACTCATTACACAGTCGTGATTTGGATAGAACTGGAAAATACCCAGAAAGAGAGTAAAAAACGCATTTTGTGCTCTAAGACACACAACTTATCTATCCAACTCTTTTGAGCGAGTGGAGCACATTTTGGATACAAAAAGGACATCGCCCCCGAAGACGTTACAGTGACAACCACAACAAGCATATTAATTATTGCTATTACTAATGGTTGGTAACGATTTTCTTTTACAATTATAATTGATGTAATTATCGATATATAGAATATTTACATCAATACACTCATTACGTGAATAAATGTCTATGCTCTATCTGCAGATATCGTTACCGTGGAATGGTATATATATTATGAGATAATAAACACAAAAAAATCTATCACTTTCTATCAGGCAAAACTTTAAATGAAAACTTAGACCTTCAGGGTTAACCCACCCCAATATACTTTATAAGAATTAAAATAATAAACAAAATTTTTTTCGGTGTAGAAAAAAGCTTAAATGCACACAATGAACACAAATGATGCAAAACGAACATTTACTTGAAATCCGTTACGAGAGAATCACATTTCACAAAATTTACAACAAGCCTAAACGTTGGCAGGAGAAATAGCACATGGGAAAATTAGGATCTAATGGAAAATATAAACAAAGCGACCAATAAAATATTCTTCTGCACTTCAACAAATATAACGCGGAATTGAAGCTTGGAATCGTAAAGATAACTGACACAAAATTTGAGAGACGCTGTAACACAATATTTTTGCGCAAAAATGAAGATATGAAACAAAATTGACATATTAAATAATAAACACACATCACACGTCAGGTATCTCGAACATATTACACACGACACGGCGAACTACAACACTATTATTCAATGTGTTGAATATACAATGTGTAGGGCACAGAAGCCACCGCAACGGATGTCTGAGCAATTTCACCCACTACAGGTAGTCGTATATACACACCATCCAGCATCAAAACTTGACGTGCACAATGCCTCTGGAGAAGGCAACGGGAAATCACTCCACAAATATCTCAATAAACAAAACTGGAGGGAGGGGGTCAATCGAATAGCCGTCTACAGGCAAATTGGGAACAAAAGTAGCTACTCACGGAGGAATGAGTGAGGTGCGACACCAGGCTTTCGCAGCCGGCCAGCATGGACTCCGTCATCTTGCACGGCGCGAGTTCAGCACCCGACGGATGACAGCCGCGCGCCGGCAGCGTGGGGCTGCGAGGGCGTGCACGCCCGCGGGCGATCAGCGACGGGCGACGGCGGGGGGCGGTCGGTGGTCGACAGTCGGCGGTCGGCGGCCAGCGGTGGCGGCGGTCGCGCAGAGAACCACAGACGGCTAGACGCCCGGCGCGGCACGCGAGACTACTGGCAACCGGCCGGCCGAGCGGCGTGCTCGCGGCCGGGACCCGCCGCCGCCGCCACCGTCGCCGCCGCCATCGGCGGAGGGGCGGCCACGCCCTCCGCGCGCCCTCATTGGCTGCGCCGCCGCCCTCCGCCATTGGCTGGCCCATTAGAGGCGCAATTTCGCCCGCCGAGGGAAACCGGAGGAAGGAGGGCCGCGCGCGTTTATTTAGGGAGGCGCCCCGGGCCGTGCCTGCCCTCTCCTCGCCAGCTCTAACCTCTTCTACTTCCCACTTTCGTGGAGTACTAAGCTCACCATACCAACGGATTTGTCTAAAAAATTACCCCTTTAAACGGTACATATATTTTCCACTCCATACTCATTATGGAAATTGCCACAATCGTACGAACTAGTTATTTGTTAACAATTAAAAATAAAAATATTGTTCACATACTTTCTCTTATACATTGCTAGCAGAACTTGGCACACGTCCTGCTGTCCCTTACTCACCTTTCTCACTCTCTCACGTCTCTTTCTTTTCTCTTTCTCTTACTCTTCTCCCTCTCTTCCACATCTCTTTTCCTCTTTCTCTTCCCTCTCCCTCTCTTTTCTCCTCTTTCTCTCTTCCCCTCTCTTTTTCTCTCTCTCACTCTCTTCCCTCTCCTTCTCCATCTTTTACTTCTTTTTACCTCATCATCTAATCCTTCTCTCTTTGTTTCTCCCTGTCTCTTTGTTTCTTTCTCTTTCTTTGTTTCTCTCTTTCTCTTCTTGTTCGCTCTCTTTCTTGTTCGCTCTCTTTCTTGTTCCCTCTCTTTCTTGTTCCTTCTCTTTCTTGTTCCCTCTCTTTCTTGTTCCCTCTCTTTCTTGTTCCCTCTCTTTCTTGTTCCCTCTCGCTCTTGTTCCCTCTCGCTCTTGTTCCTTCTCGCTCTTGTTCCTTCTCGCTCTTGTTCCCTCTCGCTCTTGTTCCCTCTCGCTCTTGTTCCCTCTCGCTCTTGTTCCCTCTCGCTCTTGTTCCCTCTCTATTTCTTGTTCTCTCTCTCTCTCTCTTGTTCCCTCTCCCTCTCTCTCTCTCTCTCTCTCTCTCTCTCTCTTCCTCCAATCCAAGCTTGTAAAAAATCACTTCTCTTCAGTGGACAAAAGGCAAAATAACCAATCAAAAGGAAGCTCACCAATCACATGAAAAATTGACTCTAGATAAGATCAAGATAAAATAAAAAAAGGATACAATGAAATTAATTTGAAGCAAGAATGGTAGTAAAGAAAATACAACAGAAAGATTGAGTTTCAAGAAATACAAAATGTCGAATTGCTTTATAAAAATTAATTTATTAGTATAATAAATTTATAAGGCATTCTTATCCCAATCGAATCATCATTGTGGTTCGGAATGTGATGTAACTCACTGAATCAATACATTGCACAAAACGTCGCAAATCCCATTTCTCGAATTAGCAAACATATTCGAACTGCTGAAAGATTTCTTCACATATTTCTTCCTTTTGTCCATGTTTCCTTTTTTATTATTTTTTGTTGTGCGAATTTCATGCAAATTAGGTATTTTGTAATATTTATAACATGATGTGAGGACAAGTAATTTCATGATTTTGATGGTCACACTGCAATTCAAATTGAAATAGTACTTGAAATGAAGCAATTAAGAGAATATTGTTAAAGCAATAAAAAATTAAAAACACAAAAATACAACAGAATATACGATGTATAAGAGCGCAAAACAAAGTGATAAGGAAAGAGTATTATCTTCAAGAGGTATAGAATTGTTAAGAGAGAGAGAGAGTGAGAGAGGAGAGAGAGAAATGTATTAACGGGAAGGAGGTGATATATAAAGAAGGTATCAAGGAAATGGAAGAAGTGTGTTATGGGAGAATAAGACAATCCAAGTACAATGATTTTTATAAGGAATTAGTAGTTTGTAATGATGTGTGTGAATGTGTATCAACTGGATATCCAAACAAAGATGAATAAATGAATGACAATGTTCATCACAAAACAATTCAAAAAGTATTAAAATTATGTGTATCAGAAGACGGGTAGAAATAATTAAAACTCTTCCGTGCACGTTTAAACTCGCCAGCATCATACTTGTCTTTTCGAATCGTATGTTCATCATTCGCAGCATCCACTTGCAAATCGTGTTAGTCAGGTCAGTGAAAGTGTCACATTGTATTTCAAGACGAGGTGACATAACAATTAGTGTTTCTCTCGTTAATGACAATTGAAGAAATCAATAAAATATCAAATTTTACATTTTTGAAAAAGTTTTTTTAAAAGACTTTTGTAGGTACGCAAGTGTCAATTAGTTTTTCTTATGTAAGGTAAAAATGAAATATCAGACTTACGCATCTTCTTTTCGATATATGCAGAAGAAAGCTTTTCCTCGGAAGCAAGGAACAAGAAAAGAAAAATCCTAAATATTCAGACGTACTCGTGGTCATTACGCAATTCATTCAATTGCTGAATCTTCAAGATTCTTCTTTGATCCCTGTTTATCTAATTTTCACAAACATAATATAATAATCCAGATGTTAATACATTTTTTATTTTCCTATAAATCAGTTATGAGGTGTTTAATTATTTTAAAATCATGGTAAAGTGATATATTTTTGTTTAAATTCATGTGTGTTTCCATGCAATGAAAAAGTTCAGAAAAGTTTTTCAGACTAATTGGAAAGTGTTTACTTTTCAGATAGGCTCACTATAATTAAATTAAGTTTCCCTCTGAATTATTTTTGAGGTACTTAATCGTTTTAAAACCACGTGAAAAATTTTATTCCAATGCCTATTAAGCAAAAAATTCTATTAAAGCAAAAAAATGATAAAAAGAATACAGGCTAATTATTATGGTGAGAATCAAAATATCTTATTTTGGTGTAGATTTACTACTGTATGCGTTTCCTTTCAATCAGTATTGAAGCAGTTTATTTTCTTTAAAATAATGGTAATGTTATGTCAATGTGTTCCTATCAATGTTATATTTCAATGACGTCGAGAACAATTTGAAAATTGTGATGCACACGAATTGTACGTTACGTGTTTCCTGTTAATCATTGTGAATAGAGTTCTCGCTTTGATTACAATGTTCTGATGAAGTATCAATTTATTTCAATGTCGATATCTCCATAAACTCAGAAATATTTCATCATACGCTGGATGATGTCCGAATTGATCCATTCACCGTTATTCACTCAGCTATATCTAAACAACCTGGGTAATGTGCAAATTAACCAGCTAATTCGGGATCCAACCATTTCACGGACTAATCGTAACATAAACACCAGGATGAGGGGTATTTTCATGACTCTTTTGAGCACAATTAGACCTCGGAATTTTAGGCACAAAAAAGTGATGATTTAGACACCCAAAATACGTAACAAAAAGAATGAAATTAGGCACTCTTAAGGATGAAAAGTGACATTTTAGACACTAGAAATAAATTGCGTTTTATCCCTAATAGTGCCTAATTTTATAATTTTTGTTACCTATTTTAATAGCCTAAATTATCACTTTTTTGTCCCTAAAATTTCGAGGTCTAGTTATAAGAGTGTATTACTTATAGTACTTGAGAAATGTTTTACTTTTTGAAAAACAAACACTTCAGCAGCAATTTGGCTGTTACGTGACGTGTTACAGCTATGTATATTTTGGTAAGATTATGTTATCACTTATTAAACTATATCAGTACATATTATGTTATCATATTTTAGATACACTGACAGTTTTTTGTCTCATCCGTATAAACCAATATTCAGCCGTATTCATAGAAAAGATATAAAATTTGAGAGAACCCATTACATTTAATTAAAAAAATTAGATTTACTGAGGTCACTCACGATGAATAACCAATTCAATAACTACTTCAACCACATCCCGTACCTCCGCTTAGTGTAAGGGCAGACACGCGTGAAAATGTAACTTTTAGAAACTCTAGGAATAGCATGAGGGTTTTCTGGAGTTTGTATTGTAAATTGAACTGCACGGGCGTTCCAGGCTATCATAAGACAAAAATGGCAACAATATGACAGAAAATATGAATTTTCAGATCCACCACTAGAAAGTAAGCCCAGTCTAAGCAGTTACTTGTGTCTCCAACACTCGAGAAATCTGAGCCATTGAATTTCACGATTCTGTTTTAAGAAAGTTAATATTGCTATTTTTCTTCCTTATTGTGAGTTATAGAAGGAATATGACACTAAATGAAAACAATTTACGCGACAATTGAGTCAATATCAAACTGATTGATGAGATAATTAATATTTCAGATAGGACGGTCGAATTCACATTTGACATTATGCATATCACGTCAAAGAAAATAGACGTTTAGTATATATACTTGCTTCCTTAAGACGTCGAAATTTCTAAAGAATGAAACGTATGATAATGTAGGTCAGCACTAGTGACATCCGGCACTGCTCAAATTTCGCATTGTATTTGTTCGTTTTTCGAGGGAACTGATTTGAAAAGAATTAACGCACGATATAAGATGTTTTACTTTGACTCAACTTTGGTTTTCAATTTCCCAAAAACTTAGGAAATATTTTCAGTTAGTGGGTGCATGGGAGATTTTTTTTGCATTCAATTATCTGACATTCAGAAATGATTAGAAATAAAACTGACAACCTGATTTATTCGTAATAATTAAGTCATGAATGTATGTATTAGGCATTTTTCGGCCGATAGTCCGTCTTTGCTGGCCAGCTAACGGTGTCCACCGTTCATGGACCTAATTAAATTCCCATGCATTTGGGGGTAAGAACAACATGTGGCGAACATGAGGTATTCCCTTCACAGTAACTAGCAAAGTCTGAGCTTCCTTTCATTTTCTTGTTTCTTTGTGATTCAAAGTTGTAGCTTCTTCCATCATTTCATCTTCCCCACATCAAGTACTATAATTTATCAAATAGTAAGAATATTGACCAACATTATATCAAGAACATAACAAAAAATAGGTTAGTCTGTGTTTTAACTCAAGAAAACTGCTGCATATTTAAGTGAGAAAATATTTCTTGAACAAAAAGTCACAATTCCACCTTTTCAATTTTCGAATTGAAAATTTTTCACAAACAGAATATTTTTTCTCATTTGGAGGTCAGTTGACTGAATTTATGTTTCTGACATTTATTACAAACGAGTGTATCATTCATACTTCCAGTCACAAAACGTTTCCACCTCCAATCAGTTCTAAATGATTGTTCATATCTTAACGAACAGGAAGAGTGAAACAGTAAATCTAAAATTGTCGAAGATTTGGAGTTTAAGAACTAAATATTATCATTTAAATGCAAAATAAGTGAATTATGAACAACACTAAGCCAGG